TGCGTTCCACGAGATGCTTAACAACACTCAAATGACCCTCCTGGGCGGCATAATGAAATGCGGTGAGGCCGTTTTTGTCTTTCCTGTTAACGTCCGAACCACGCCTCGCAAGGAATTTGATAGCGTCCAACCTACCTCTCTTCGCAGCCCAATGCAATGGTGTCTCGCCTTTATCATCGGTAATATTTAAGTTCACACCTAGTCCCGCAAGGTATTTGATGGCGTCCAAATCACCACCCGCAGCAGCAAAATGTAAAGTCGTTTGGTCGTAAATGAAATTTACACCTACGCTCCTCATGGAAGAAGGCATCACGTGTCTTTCATTTTCCCTATCACGATTCTGGAGAAAATCGAGAATGTCACGATTGCCATTGAGAGCAGAGCAATGTAATGCGGTGCAGTCTTTGCGGTCTCGGAGATCGACGTCCGCTCCAACTTCCACCAGACTTTTGACAATGTCTAATTCGCCTCGAAGTACAGCAACATGTAATGGCGTACGACCATTATTGTCCCTAGTGTTGACGGCAGCTCCGAGTTTGGCAAAATATTTGACTGCCTTCGGTTGTCTATAAATAACAGCTATATGTAAGGCAGTATAACCCTTATTGTTTCCAATATTAATGTCTGCGTGCCGTTCTACTAGGTATTTCACAGTTTCTAACTGACCCATCGAAGCAGCTGAGTGTAATGGCGTGTTGCCGTCATTGTCAGTAACTTTGACATCGAATTCAGTTAGAAGGTATTTGACAGTGTCTAATCCGCCACTTCTTGCCGCAGAATGCAATATCGTTTCGCCACTATCACTTCTAATATTAACGTCCGACTCATGAGCTATGAGAAATTTCACTGTTTCTAACATACCTCTTGCGGCAGCTTTCTGGATGGCAGTATTCCCTCGTTCATCCTTCATGTTCACGTCTACGTCCTTTTTCACTAATAACTTTACCATATCGAGATTGTGGATTGCATAATGTAGCTCTGGATCGCCTACAGAGTTTTTAACGTCCATTTTTATCCCTAATTCGATCACCAATTCAGCGGTCGAGAGCGAAGATCTCATGGCAGTTATATGGAGCATTGTGTTGCCCTTCCCGTCCCTAGCATTGATATCGGCACCTTGACCTATTAAGTATCTAATGGCGTCTAATCGTTCGCCACGTGCCGCACCAAAAATTATTGTTTCTTGATTTTCTACAGCGCCGTTTACGTTCAAGCCCTCTTCCTTCGACTTTTTCAATAAGTCTAATCGACCTAAATAAGCAAACGTGTAAGGAATAATCGAACCCATTTTGTACCATTCGTTATGCTGCAGATAGCTATCCAGAAGATATTCAACTACGTTTACGTAATTTGTAGAGATGGCTTCATAGAATATTGAATAATTTTGCGAATTACCGAGGCGAACATCGTATATACCAATCTTCCGTATTAAATCTATAGAGTTCAAATTAGCACCCCGTTCAACTAAAAATTTCACCATTTCCAAATGCCCTTTTCGAACAGCATAAACAAGGGGAGTTTTACTCATTTCGTCCCAAATGTTAAGCCCCCCCTCTTGTACGAGAAAATCTAAAACAATCAGGGTGTTT